AGATAGATAGATAGATAGATAGATAGATAGATAGATAGATAGATAGACAGACTGATAATTGAAAACGGTGGGGGAATGTCAGGATTAAATAGCAGGTTGCTAAAGGATAGTTGCTTCATCACAATAATCTGTGGCTGCCACAGAACAAGACCTATTGGTCTTCTGGAAGGAAGACTTTTGAGGAGCAGGAGAAACTGGATAGAGAAAACAGCACTTCTTCACCATGATTAAAAATAGTAAAAAGCACAACCAAACAACTTTTTCTTGTAAGAAAAAGCAGCAGAAAATTGGAATGCACTCATTTGGAACAGAACCAGTAATTTGCAATTGGCAGAACCAGCCCTTTTCTTGGTTCAAATCTATCTCCCATACAGGTGGTGTGCACCTGTTTCCCTCTAAATCAGGGGTCTCCAACCTTGGAAACTTTTAGACTTGTGGACTTCAATTCCCAGAGTTCCTCAGCCAGCAAAGCTTGCTGAGGAACTCTGGGAGTTGAAGTCCACAAGTCTTAAAGTTGGCAAGGTTGGAGACCCCTGCTCTAAACAGATTTAACCATCAGAGATCAGATGTCTCTGTGGAAACCAAATTTCTAGTCTCTCTCATTGCCCAACCCAAATGGCCATGGAGAGCAGGCCTCAATGACCAGAGGGGAAGAACAGGTACAAGTATCCAAGGAAAGTTGGGTAGATCTTAGCCCCTGATCATGTCATCATCACCATAAAGGTTTATCAGGCCCAGACTGGTTTTCTTTGGGAGAAGAAGCCATATTAACCCTTTTAATCTTCTGCCAAAGCAGGAGTGAGCAAGCTGAATCTCTAAAACCCATTTTTGCATCTCTTCAAAGCCTTTTCCATTGATAGAGGCTTCAAAGAGGCTTTAAAAACAGCTAAATTGTGTGTTGTTTTCCAGTTTTTAGATTAAGTTCATGTAAGTGACAAATAAGCAAGACCATGGTGCATTTGGAAATGAGAGCATGTGATGGATGTAGAACAATTATTCTGGTCATTTGGAAAGCCATAGCGATGATGTTAGAGAAATAGTTACAAAAGAAGTAAAGTTTAATAAAGCATAGTTTCAGGCAAACCCATTGCCTCTGTTTCCTGGCCTGACCTACCGCAAAAGTCTGATTAATCACAAAATACCCAGTGTGAACTTGTTCCCGAGAGACATGTGTTTTCTGAGATTTTTCAAAGGTCACCTTGACAGGCATTGTGAAAGGTGTCTTAAGTTGTGCAAGGGATCCACATTACTTCCTTGGACATAAGTCAAAATAAGCCCAAAAGGAAATAAACATCTTCCCCAATTTTGCATGTGAGGTTTTGCCACCTATATGGCAGAATGACGATTTGTATCGCCATCCATTTCAGCCCTTGACTTCCCCTAGCCATGGAGCATATTGTGTAGGTCCCCAGCTTCCCAGGGGTTGCCTATATCTGGGTGAAAGGAGCCCACTATTGTCTGATGGAGTGTGACAATAATCCAGTCATTTGATATGGTAACCCACTTCTCAGTTTACTTGCTTCAACTTTCCAATGTTTTACAGGCGTCAGCTATTCAGACACAGTGAGCGCCACCGAGCCATGTAAGCCCTGTAAAGAGTGCGTGGGTCTGGAGAGCATGTCGGCTCCTTGTGTGGAATCGGACAACACCATCTGCAAATGTATCTATGGCTTCTACCGGGATAAGAACAATAAATGTAAAAAGTGCCGCATCTGTGAAATAGGCTACGGGCTTGTCTATCCTTGTGGGGAAAATCAGAATACATTGTGTGAGAAATGCCCGTCGGGGACGTATTCTGATGAAGCCAACCATGTGGACCCCTGCTTTCCTTGCACAGTGTGTGAGGAGGATGAGATCATGGAAAAGGACTGTACTGCGACTTCAGATGCCAAGTGCAGAGGTAATTATACATTTTTAAAATGGTGGCGGTGGTAGGGAGAAGATGGAGCTTAACAATGTGCACAGTGGTAGGATTCAATTTTTTTTTACTACAGGTTCTGTGGGTGTGGCTTGGTGGGCCTGGCTTGGTGGTGTCGCAGGGGAAGGATACTGTAAAATCTCCATTCCTACCCCACTCCAAGGGGAAGGTTACTGCAAAATCCCATTCTCTCCCCACCCCACTAACCTGCTTTCCAGCTCCATTCTCCTGTGCAGGGCAACAAAAGAAGACCCAGCCGATCAGCTGGGACTCGGGAGGCAGAGAATAGATGGAAGTGGGGCCAATCAGAGGTGGTATTTGCCAGTTCTCTAAACTACTAAAAATTTCTGCTACCTGTTCTCCAGAACTGGTCCGAACCTGTTGAATACCACCTCTGAATGTGAATAATCCTGCTATGGAGCAGCAGAGTCCCTGCCCCTGCCCAGCAGATATCCAGAAATAGGTTACTAGGCAGTACTGCTTCAAGCAATGAGGTAGCGATGGGGGCTCAGCAAAATGTCCTTTGGATAATGTTCTTGATCCCCCCACTCCCAAAGGCTGTCCTGGTTTTCTCCTGGTACAGTCCTGGTCTCTCTTCCTGGTCTCTTCATTTACTAGACACAATTAAGGAAAGAAACATGTTGATTTGTTCTTTTATTTTTCTTGTTGTTTGAGCCTCCCAAAAACAAAACAAACAGTAGAGCCATTTGGGATTATCGGCTACAAGTAAATTCTGATGGCCCCCGGTGGGAGGATGGAGCTGCCCAGTGGCACGCCAGATCAAAACTAGTTTAAGATAAGTAATTTTTAAGAAGAGAAACAGTCAGGGGGCTTTGCTACCCGGGGGGGAACTCCAGCAGCAGCTGAGCAAGTACGCAAGTCCCTAGTTTGAGTTTCTCTCAGTGGTGAATGGTTGTCTTTCTTTTTATTGCTTAGCAATTATTGTAAACTTCAGTATTTTGAATGAGAAAAATGTGAAATTTGTGCAAAACTATGCCCACTTTTGCTGACTTTCTCATAATGATACCGTTACTCCTAGTATAATCTCCATCCAAATATAGATAGATATAGATAAATATAGATAACCTTTATTGTCATTTTTACTGTGGGCACACTGCCAACATTAAAAATAAAATTCTGTTGCCTGCTCTCAAAAGTGTATACATACGTAACACACATATACACATCACACACACACACACACACACACACACACACACACACATATCATTGTCCATCTTGAATATATATCAGAAAGAGGAAGCTTGAGAATTCACATGGTTGATACTATATGGATACTATATATGCAGCCCATCCTGCCAGCTGAACTCTTTTTTGTACATTTAAAAGGTCAAAATGGATTGCCTGTGACCATAGAAGTGAATGAAGATAATTTATGTATTTATTACAATTTTTTAAACCTGCCTTTATTATTTTTAGAAATAATTCAAAGTAGTGAACATACCTAATAATCTTTCTTCTTCCTATTTTCCCCACAACATCCTTTCACGCCAAAGGTGGGACTAGAACTTACAGCCTCCTGGTTTCTAGGCCAGTACCTTAACTAGTGCAACAAATATCAGAATTCCTGAGCAGATGAGATCTTGACATGCATGTGCATGTGAGAATGGGGCTGTAGCTTAAGGACTATTAAGCAACTCCTTTCTTCCTCTATATATTCATGCTATAACTACATGACAATATTTGCAGGGAACTTCATAGTGAGATCATGAATTTCACTCAATATTATGCTAATGTTTCTCCCTGGAGGAGTGCAAAGCAAGTTAACAGTCCCTGATGTTTTTTGTTCCCGATTTTCAAAAATTCACTCTCAAGTTTACATTTTTACCAGATAAACAAATCAAATCAGAAGTGGAAACATATTGTGTACTTGCATAAATGTATGCCGAGATATGGAGCCAATGACATGCCCAATTCAACCTCCACTGATGAGAGGTGGCTATGATTACAATTTTCCATTTACAATTTTAATTTTTTTAATACATTCATGAAGTTAAAGCATATCCCTCTCCCAGGTCCTTCGTCCCAGATATTATCACTCTCCCAGCACTGTCATATTTCTTTTCGTAAAATATACTGAAATAAACAAAAACAAAACCACCCAGGATGCATTCCTCTTTTGGGGGACTTCCCGAATAGTTCCAGGTTAACTATTAGAAGAAGAGTATGGTGGCTTTTGTGGTTAGGATACTGGGATGGAGGTTGTCAAGCCCTTAATTTGAGAACCGACTGCTTCTGTGGGGCAATGTTGAACTTCCATCCTTCACTCCAATTTCTCCAACTTCTTCAAACATGAAAGGAGTCCTCAACTAGGTATCCTGCAGGCAACGGTGATGTCACCAACTAATTCTTTCAACCTGGAAGCCCCTTGCACTCTGACATGAGTGCAAACTATCAGAATTGTTCTCTCCAGGGAAGAAGTTGAAGCCCGTCTTTTGACATAAACATAGAGGCAGATTTGTTTTGCTTAATCCACAGAGGGACGAGTTTTTCCTGTGACTGATAACACACAAACAGAAATCAACCTGCTCTCTTCTTGCTTCCTAAGAATGTCTTGACTTGCAAAAGCTAACAGGTAAAGCTTTCTATGGCATGGAGATAAACACGATCTCTTGCTATATGCTTCAGGGAAAATGGCAAACTATACAGTAATAATAGGGTGCAATTCTGAACTTAGCAACCTGTGCCAAAATCAGAATTGGAGAACTGTTTGGAAACATATTCTTAAAACACATTCCCCATTTGATTGGGCCTGCTGTTATTACTATTGCACATATGACCTCTCCTTATTGGTCCAACCTCTGCCATTGTTTGAATGATAGGATAAGTCTAATAGACACTTGTCTTCCTCCTCCTCCTCCTCCTCCTCCTCCTCCTCCTCCTCCTCCTCCTCCTCCTCCTTGATGCTAAAACATATGAAGAATGGTTACAGGAACTAGTAATCAGGCACAGATAGTCTAGTTAAGAGGATAAGGGGAGATACAATAGCAGTGTTCCAATATTTGAGGGGCTGCCACAGAGAGGAAGCGGTCAACCTATTTTCTAAAGCACCTGAAGGCCAGGCAAGGAATAATGGTTGGAAACTGATCAAGGAGAGATTCAATCTGGAAATAAGGAGAAATTTTGTGACAGTGAGAACAACCAACCAATAGAACAGGTTACCTTCGGAAGTTGTGGGAGCTTCACCACTGGAAGCTTTCAAGAAGAAACTGGACTGCCATCTGTCAGAAATGGTATAGGGTCTCCTGCCTCGGGGGTTGGAGTAGATGACCTACAAGGTCCTTTCCAATTCTGTTCTTGTTCCTCCTCCCATCTACTTCTGTGCTTCACTATGTCTAGCAAACAGAAGATTTGGGCTGGATCAATAGTGGATTCTCTTCTGAAATGTGAATGGTGGTTTCTGGCATGGAGATGACTCTATAGTTTTTTGTGCTGGTCCTTTTGCCAAATCCCATTTTTCCCATTTTTCTCAACCATTGAAAAAGAACCTATATATTAAATGGGTCATCACACCCATCTTCTGCCTAATCTTAGTCATGTCCAATTATCTAATGCTTGCTTATTAAGTCATTAGAATATTTATTGGGATCCTCAGAATCCCAACAGTTATTTGATGTGTTGTATTTCTCATAAGTGGAAAGCGAAAATTTGATAGTATAATACAGAATGTGGAAACCAATCTATTTTGGCAACATTTCTATTAAAAAGATAGGAATTCCAAAATGAGATTGATTCATTCCAAGCTTTCATGCTTGGCCCACTTTGCAGAAGAGTAGCAAGTAGAGTTATTATCAAAATACAAATATCTGCATATTGTATTTATGGAAGAAAGAGCAATGAGAAATGGGTAGGGGTGTTTTGCGGAAAAAGGTAACAAGGAGAAACGGCTAAGATATGCCTGTTCAAGGTACCCCATTCTTCAGCTTTATTTTAAGACTGTAGAAGTTGAATGTAATAAATCAGAAATAAGACAAACAAACAGAAGATGAAGATAATCACCTACTATGTTCACACTTGTGCTAAGCTATAGTGTGGTTTAACTGTTTGTAATTCAGTATCTGAACTCAGCCATTGTGGTTTTAATATCCCGGCTTAGTGTGAACCGAGCCAAGTGGAGTCTCTCCAGGAAAGCATGGTTAAGCAGTATGAGCCATGGGGAAAAATCAAAGCTGACTTTAAAAAAACCCAAACAAAATTACAGTTCTATACCCACTACTGTATCCGAGAATAAAGCAATTGTGTTTATATGATAAATGTCAGAACTGATGTGGTTTGATTTGAAAGCTGGTTCTGATCCCAGCTGAATTAGGGAGTTCCTGGACAATCTTCAATAAGCTTAACTTTTCAGAGTTTGTTATGTTGATCTTGATAGCAATTTTTCAAGATTGCTATGAAGGTTCCTGGCATTCCAGTTTCACTGATTCAGATGCAACAACTCCAGTCTGAGAAACAGTCATCTATAGAAGACAGATACTACAAATCTTGCCCCTGCCCACTTTCTCTTTCCCCTTCTCCCCTTCCTTCAACAGCCGGTATTAACAATATGACTCCTCAGGCTAACAGTGGGATCCGAACTAATTAAAATGTGTTTTTTTTAAAAAGGGCAAAATATTTTTATATATTTTTTAATTTATTTATTGAATTTATATTGCCGCCTATTTGCCCATGGTGACTCAAGGTGGCTTACAAAATATAAAACCACATTCAAAAACAATAGAAAATTTTAAAAAAACAATCAAATACATTATAGTACAATATAAAACAAATCACTCCTCAACTCCTACTCCCTGTCCTGGAGACAGCAGATCACACAAGCCATTTAATGGGCTCCATCCCACTCTGGGTTCCCCAGGCCCACTGGGAGAACCAGGTCTTCAGAGCCTTCCAGAAGAATATTAGAGTGGGGGGCGTTCTAATCTCTGGGGGAATGATATTCCAGAGAGAGGGAGCCACCACAGAGAAGGCCCTTCTTCTGGGTTCCCATCAGGTGTATCTCCCTCGGGGATATGACCCGCAACATTCCCTGCCTCAGGAATGTTGAGTCAGGTAGATGTGCCCAGCAAGAGATGTTGCCTCAGATAACCTGATCCCAAGCCATGAAGGTGGCAACCAGCACCTTGAATTACACCTGGAAGCAAATCAACAACCAATGCAACTCTTGCAGGAGAGGTGATACATGTTGCACACTGGGGTCTGCACAAAACCATGTGGGCCACTGTATTTTGCACCAACTAGAGCTTCCGGATGCTCTTCAAGGGTAGCCCACAATGATCTTGAGTTTAAGTGAATGAGAAAAAGAAAATATAAATACAGCCAAACAACAATATCATCAGTATTTGTGAAAGTGTATAACTTCAAAAATAGGAATAAGAATGAAAAAGGAGGAAGAAGAAAAACAGTGGGGCTGAAAAAATAAGTTGTAAATAGAGCTCCAAAAATCGACCATTTTTCTCAAAAATCTTCTCTTTGGGTGTAGCTAAGAGAACCAATAGTTTTTTTAAACATACAATTTGTTTACTTAGTTTATCTATTGAATTTTTATTTCATTTTCATTTTGACTTATGTTGAATTACAGCAGCTAGAACATTTATGGTAAATATAACAGTAATGCAGAGTGACATGTTCAGTCGATGTTGCAGTTCCACATGCAACAATATTAGGATAAAATCAAATAATATGAATTTTTATTCTAGCTTTTGAATCATATCTCCAAGAGTAAGTTCTAAACTTACTTCTAAAATTCTAACTATGCTTTCTTGAAAAATTTCTGAGGTGTCCTGTATCCATAAACATTTTTGTTGCTTTAACCTAATTTTAAGATGATAAAAGTTATTTTCATATTATTTACAGTGATCTTCTGTGAATTTCCAGAGATGAGGCATCATAGCAGTTATTTATGTGATGCATAAATAACATAAAAATCAATTTCATCATTTCATTTTTCTTCAGCTTTTTATAAAAATTGGGTTTTGGCTTAGGAGCTACTATTAATTCTTCCAAAACCTCAAATTATGATATAATTTCTGAGGCAGTGATAGCATCTGGATTAAATGATTCTGATTAATTATGTTGTGACAAAACCAGTTTATCACAAACATTGTGTCAGAGCTTTTGCAGTGTGGCTGCTATAGGAGACAAGCCAGTAGCAAAACACAGTACACAGAGACTTAGAAATTTAAGAGTGGTTTATATACAACAGTTATATACAGAAATATATATGGCAGGCAAATACCTTACAAGCAATCAATCTTCTTAACTTTACATGGAGAACTCTGCAATGGAGACAGGATCCAAGGAGAGAGAAAACACCCTCTATAATGGCAGCCTTATATAAAATCTCTTAAAATGGTAAAACTTCTGTGGACCCCTTCTTAGTCTTAAAAAAGGCAATAACCATGCTCAGGGGTGGGATTCTACCAGCTCGCACCTATTTGCTAAAACCAATTGTTAACATTCTAAGCAGTTCGGAGAACCGGTTATTAGAAGAAATTACTGCCTAATCCTGTAAGGAAGGCAGGAAGGAAACATTCTGGTGTTGCTTACAGAAACTGCCCCTCTGTTAACCCTTATTACATTCTTGGTAGGACTAGACTTCCTGTCTCTGGAACATCTCTGGAGTTTTTTCCCCCCTTCTTTGCTGGTACTTTGCTTGTGTGGAGTGACCATTCAAAGTTACAATGGCATTGATTTATGACCATTTTTCACACTTACGACTGTTGCAACATCCCCACAGTCACGAGAGGCCAGGCGAGGAGATGCATGCCCCAATGTGAGTGATATTGAGTTGGTCACGCCCAGCCAGTAACTTGACCACCAAGCCATGCCCACCAACTAAGCCACGCCCACAGAACTGGTTGTTAGGAAATTTGAATCCCACCCCTGCCCACGCTATGCCGATTCATCCTTATTGCATCAGCCTTATATTGCATCAGCCTTATATTGCATCAGCCTTACATTACATCATCCTTACATTGCCTCAGCCTTACAGCAGTTGGCAGCTATTAAATCTTCTACCTCAACACATTGATTAAAATGCTTAATTTAAGTTTCTGGGGGGTAAACATAATGTTTGCAACCAAGTAATTTTCATCTACGCTTTGCAACATTAAATGTGGATATTGAAATAAAATTCAAAAAAGGTTCTCAGTGTAGGATTGGCCAGAATTTCAGTGGGTTCAAGTAATAAATCTTAGTTGAACTAAAGAACACTTGGATTTCGGAGTTCCTGCAGCCCAAAACCAAAGCTGGATTGATAATACTGAGAGCGTGGAGAATTAAATCTGTCTTTCTCTGTTTCTTTGTTTGCCTCCTGCCTTTATTATTTTTACAAATATCTCAAAGTGGCAGACATGTTTAATGCAACTGAGAGTTGTCATTTGTGAAATGAAGACCCTTTAAAAATATCTATTTAGTGGTCTTCATTTAAAATAATGGAATGGAATGAATGTAAATCAACCCCAAAGGCTAAACTCTGCCAGCACTTTGTGTTCTTACCCAACTTCCCGGGAGATTTTGAAACTTTTTTCATTTAATTTTTTTTTAATCATCCAGTTTGTTAAAATCAGTATATTATATAATGGTTTGAGAAAGCCCTTAAATTGTAGTTTCCCAGTTTAGAAAATGCTAATTTCTAGCCAATGAGTAGAAAATTAATGGCTGGAAGCAGTGGTGGGATTCAATTTTTTTTTACTAGCGGTTCTGTGGGTGTGGCTTGGTGGGCATGGCAGGGGACGGATACTGTAAAATCTCCAGTCAGAGGTGGTATTTGCCGGTTCTCCAAACTACTCAAAATTTCTACTACCGGTTCTCCAGAACTGGTCATAACTTGCTGAATACCACCTCTGGCTGGAACACATTGCCTGAAGATGAGTCCATAGTCCATATTGCTCTGATGTCAGCTGTTCCAGGTGGGGGTAAAATTATGCAGGCTGCAGGGCAAGATGTTCAACTATTCCCTCAGGCATGGCCAAATTTCATAAAAACCACTCAAAAAAAGGAAGTGGCAGCCTGCAGTTGAATAGGAAACTCTTCTCTCCGTGTGGCATTTGGGTTTCTTCTTTGGAATGAAACAATCAAAAGACAGAGCTTGCCCCACCCAGACACCCACATAATGTTAGATGAACAAAAGGTGCCAGAAAGGATATTATGGGACAGGTTATTTTTTTCTTTTTCTTTCCCAAAACCTCCATCACATTTAGAGGCATTAAAACAGAGTTTCTCCATTTTGGCAACTTTAAGATATGTGGACTTCAGCTCTCAGAATTCCCAGCCACAAAAATTGCCAAGGTTGAGAAACCCCTACGTTACAGATTATCTTGAAAAGAAGGAACACATTTCTGAAGATATTGTGTGGGATTTCTGACTTTCTAAGGACCACCTATCTTGTTTTGAATCTGACCAGTTAATATGATTTACCGGCAAGGTTTCCATAGGGACTAAGATCAGAAATGTTGAGAAAAAGCTTTCTGATTCCTCCAGAACTGTGATTGCTTACCTTTCTCTTAAGAAAAACAAGCACATCTTGACCTTTATTATTGTTCCCAGTATTTTATTGGTGTAATGGTTTTGGAATAGTTTCACTCTGTGATTTGATTGCTATCTTATTATTTTAATTTGTTTTGGTTCTTAACAGGAAAAATGATACATATGTATATTTTGTTACCAAAATGATTTAGTACTATAGCAGGGGGCTGGGGAAGTGATTTGTTCAGGGCTGTTCAAATATACCTAATGTGGCAGTCTGTATTTATTACAGATTAAGTTTAAATGACAGGACATCAACTTACTTAAGGCCATAAAGCAAATTGTGTGGCAAAATGAGAACCCTTCACATCTGCCACTCTTCAGCCTGCCTTCTGAAAGAGTGTCACATGTCTGACCTTCTCATCTACTTTTTCTTGCAAGAATTATGGTGTGATGAGAATGTCTGTGTACTCACATCTGCTTCATATCTTACATCTTTAGTTAATTGTGATTCATTTCTAAACTTCTCAATTGCCAAAAATTTCTCGTTCTCTTTTCTAAGTTATTCCTGGTTTTCTTGGCAGCAATTAATCCAAGATTTGCGATGACAACCAAAGTCCCGATGGATCCTTATACCAGCGATAGAAATGCAGATGGAAACGCTGATATAATCGTAGATATGGAACACGGTACCTTGTTTTCCTTTTCTTACACTGCTGAAATAGTTCTTCATTTGCTCAATTCATCTAACTCCCACAAGGGCTTTACTAGACTGCATGAAATAAATAAAACCGCGGACTAAAACAACAACTCAGGGAGGTATTGTTCCAAAAATTTTCTGGAAAGAAGCCATAGATGTAAATTTACCAATAATGATCAGAGTTAGAGTTATCACTTTATGGTGACTTCTCTCCTATCTTTAGTAGTTCCAACTGGTGGTCATAGGAAGGAAGTGCTTAAGCAGGTCCCACAGAACTCAAAGTTCTCCCTGAATGGAGCCCTCCCCTTTGTTGCATTGACAAGTTGTTGCGTTGACGACTATTGTAGTGGGCTTCTGATCCAATTATAAAAGTCCTGGTTATTACTTTTAAAGAGACGTAACACAGGGACATATCAGGCAACATCTTGTCCCTCTTGAATCTGCCTGTCTGATCCTTACATCAAAAGTGGGCAATTGAGAATTCCCTTCCTCAAGAGGTATATAAATCATGGGACACACGGCAAAACTTCTTGTAGTACCTTGCATTTTTGAATCTCACTTTTCCTGAAGTTACATATGATCCCTACTATTCTTATATTTCATAAGCAAGTAAAATCAATCCATCTTCAACAAACCATTAGCCCTGGTTGACTGTGGGACCATAGAAACTTTACTGAATTAATGATTACATTGTCTTGATGTTTTCTTTTCTTTTCTTTTGTTTTCTCCATTTGGTCCATTCTCCAGAGTCCCTCCATATTGGAGCAGCTATAAGCCTTGTTAAATAAACAAACAAAATTCTTTTGAGGGAATTACATTGTTTCAGCAAAGATGGGGTGGAAACTTTTGATCATGTTCACACTTGCTTAATTACTGAAATGTTAATTAAGTGATGCATTCGTAATTGTCTCACAGTTTTTCACTCTCTTTTGTTAAATTCTTCCTTCTTGTTTCCTTGGCAGCAACTAATCCACAATTTGCAGTGGCAACGAAGACCCCAATGGATTCCAATACTAGTGATGCAGACCCAGGTGTATTCATAGTACCCGATGTAGTCACAGACCCTGATGCAGTCATAGATATAGAACATGGTATCTTGTGTTTTTTTTCTTACACTGCTGAAACGGTTCCTAATTTGCTTAGTTGGTCTCACTCCAACAAAGATCCCACTGAAACCCTTGACTGCATAAAATAGTTAAGACCACGGATTAAAACAACATTTTTGAGCCCTAAGGAAATTATTATTCCCAAGCACTTTGGAGGGAAGCCATATAAGTGAAAGTATAACTAACCGTTATAGCTTTATTTGCAGGTAATATAGTATGATGTGATTGCAAGTACTAACAGAATCAGTGACCTCATTTTGAGACAAAAAAAGAACTTCTTTTAATCCCCAGTATGGAAATGTTCCCCCAGCTTTACTTTATTCTATATTTTTAGAGTGCTTATGATAAATATGGATATACAGTAAGAATGATTAAGACATGAAGCAGATCACTAACTATTTGCAAATGCAGACAAAAATACCTAGATTAGTAAAGAAAAACATTTGTATATTTCTGTTTCATAAAAAAAAAGGTGTCTAGGCCCCGAGGGAATTTTACATTTTTCAGAAAGCCAAACATTTTGATGCATGAATTGCCCTGATGATTAAATTAATCAACAAATAATTTTTCAACTTTAACTCAAAGATAGAGAATGTGAAGGACCTAATTATCTAGCATTATTCCAGAATGATTGAAGCTACATTCCAATACTGACTTACTAATGATTAAAACTCATAAAACCCAAAGGTCTTTCTTATTAGAAGACATTATATGAATGCACAACCTAATATATATTTGTATGTTGTCATACAAAGCTCTGATTTTCTATATAGACATGAATCTGTATTGTTGTAGTGGTGGTTTAGATTATTATCCACTACCCAAATTCAGGAGCTCTGGGTGGTGAACATAACATTTCCTTCTCTCTCTTTTGTCTATCACAAACTTGTGTGATAGGGTGGATAGTGAAAGGTCCAAAGTCACCCAGCAAGATTTTATGGCTAAGTATAAATTTGAACCTGTGTAGATTTGAATCTGGATTCCCCAGCACTAGCCAATATCTGAACTATTGGCTTTTGGATCACTAATATTATCGTTACAACATATATGTAAAGGAAAATAGATTAACCTAAATGCAGCCTCATTTTGCATATTGTCTCCATAATTATTCTTCTGTTTCCTTCCTTTCCAGATTTTTACCCAGGGACGCCCAAAAGTCCCTTTCCCATTACAAATTTTTCAGAGACTCTGGATATTTTGGAGACCACTATAATGAGCACTACAATGACCACTATTATGGGCAGCTCCCAGCCTGTCATTCGAAGTGGGACAGCCGATAACCTCATCCCTGTCTACTGCTCCATTTTGGCAGCTGTGGTGGTGGGTCTGGTGGCATACATTGCCTTCAAGAGGTAAGTAGCACAGACAGTCCAGAAGACAAATGTGCAGGAGGAATTTTGTGATGGAATGTTGTGATGTGCAAGAGGAATGCAGTGACAGGCAGTGTCTAAAGTTGATCTTGCTCACTGTCTAGATGTCCTTCAGTTGTTCAAGCTACTTCCTGTACCTGTTCTAAGGATGTAATTTTGGCTGACCATGGCAAAACAATTCATGATTAGCACATTTTGCAGTTAAAAACTATAAACTCCAGCATAACAGGACACTATGAGATTTGCGTGCAACTCTCATTTTCCTTTCAAAGAAATAGCATGTAAAGTGTCATATCATTGACTATCTTGAACAGTCCTCTAGGGCCTAAATACTGTTGTTTTCCTGCAACCCCACATAATTTGCAAGCAGGGGAGGCTAAGAGACAAAGGAGAAAAAGGTAGCAGCGGAAGAGGAAGCCACTTTGTGAGTATGTGCTTACAACAGGCGCACATTTTTCATACAGTATTGCAGAGAATATTTGACCTTTAAATATAATTCCTAGGACACTCTGAAGAAAGTATATGGGGATAGAATGCAAATTGATTTGATTTATTTTCATATGATGATTATTCTTCATATTTTAATAATTTCTAATAAGAATCTTTTGGTGGAGCTCAGGGGCCATGTCTCTGGCATGCAATAGAGAAGAATGGAACCATTCTCTGTTCCCATCCTCCTTCTACATGTATTTTACACCCTTCCCTTAAGCAATAGGCATCTTTATAAAGGCAATTAGATGTACTTCAATAATTTCAGAGCTGGCCACATGCGATTATCCTTGAGTGGCAAGCATCCTCTAGAAATAACCAGGGGTGGGATTCAAATTTTTTAACAACCTGTTCTGTGGGCATGGCTTAGTCAGTGGGTGTGGTTTGGTGGTCATGTGACTGAGTAGACATTGCTTGGTGGTCATTGGCTGGGCGTGGCCAACTCAATATCACTCACATTGAGGCACGCATCTCCTCATCTGGCCTTTCATGACTGTGGGGATGCTGCAACAGTTGTAAGTGTGAAAAACGATCATAAGTCACTTTTTTCAGTGCCATGGTAACTGTGAATGGTCACTCCACACAAGCAAAGTACCAGCAAAGGAGGGGAAAAAACCCTCCAGAGAAGTTCCTGAGATAGGAAGCCTAATCCTGCCAAGATTACTGGAGAGTCAGTTTCTGTAAGCAACACCAGAATGTTTCCTTCCTGCCTTCCCTACAGGATAAGGCCAGTACTTTCTTCTAACAACCGGTTCTCTGAACTGCTTAGCATGTTAACAACTGGTTCTAGCGAATAGGTGTGAACTGGTAGAATCCCACCCCTGGAAATAACTGTTCAGGATAGAAATTTCTAAGTTGTTTTTGTTAGAAATTAGACCCTTCTGTTGTGGTTAGCCAGCAGTAGGTGCAGATGGCTGAGGAGAGCGATGACTCTGAGGAGGGGCCAGGACCATCAGGGAGTGGGCTGCTGCCTTCAGAGATTGTGGGGGCTGGCAGCAGTGACGAGGAGGTTCCCGAGGAGGCTGTGCCAAGTGCACGTGCACGAAGGACGTGCACGTGCACGGGAAAGAACAATTACAGCAGCACAGGCAACTCGAGAGTAAGGCTGCAAGGTAATGGCCCCTCCCTCAAGAGGATAAAAGGCAGGTTTGGAAAAGTGTTCTTTGCAGAAAGCAAAGAAGCTCTGAAGCTCAACTTGTGGACATCTTAGTTTGTGTTTGGTGAATCTTGTAAATTAGTTCTTATCTCTGGGTTTGGGGCAGCATTGAGAACACCTTGGGCAACCTTAAAAGGTGGGGGCTGCTGCCTTTTTCTGTGTTTGCTCTTTGGGAACCTGGTTGGGTCAGAACACCTTCTGAGGACCAGTCCAGGAATATCTTGCCTCTAAAATTGCCATTTTTTAAGCTATTCTACACATATGACCATGAAAGATTAGGAAGATGATAATGATTATATCCATGCTATGAATTATTATCTCTGGCTGATTGCTTTAGCCCAAGTGGTTGATAAAAGAATAGAAGCAAGCCAAATGTAAGTTGGTTTGTTGTTGTTTTTTTCTATGACTGATAGACATTAGTCCTTTTTGCAAGAATGCTGTTTTTTATTATAAGATAAAATGCATTATCTTATTTCTCAAGCTCCAATCCCTAAATATAAAATATTCTGCTTTTAGAAAGCCAGTTGTCTTGGATTACATTGGAAAGTATTTCCTAAAGTATAACCCAAAGACCCCATGCTCCTGCCTCTTCTTCTTTCCATTGATGCCTACTGGACTTCCTTCTCCAAGAATGCAAGTCGAAAATAATAAGAATCATATGATTGCTTTACCTTGTAATCAACAACAGGACTAGACTGGGCCTAGGAAATGATTAAGAAAAAGAAAATAGGAAATAAAAAAGTAGATTATTTGTGGATCCAAATCCATCCTTTCCTCCATCCTCCAGTTCAAATATATTGAACCATCTATATTAGATGACATCATTACATATACCTGAATCACTTTATCTATTTAGGAGTTCATTGACTCAATTCCAAGCTCTTATAAAAGTGGTTGCTTGGTCTCCTGTTTCATCATGGTTGTGCCCAGTTCTTTCTAAGAAAGCATCTTAGTATGGATGGGTCCTCCAGATTTTGATGGACTATATGATTCCTTATCGCTTGTCATGTTTGCCAGGGCTGATAAGATTTGCAGTTCAGTAGTGATTTCTGCCCTATCCTAAGCATAAATGTATGTTTTTTCTTCTGTATGAAGAAAGAGAGCTAACCCTACAAATTCACAATCAGTGTTGGCAATTGCAGTGACTTTCAGGACCCAGTATCAATGAAAGCACCCTTGTCTGGATGGGCAAATTAATCCACACAGCAAGAGTTGTGTCTGGACAAGCCTTGAAAAGGTAGCATTCACCACGCCCAAACTTCATGATTTGTAGGAAGGAATTAAATCTTGATTGCCCTGCCAATTTTGTAGTGTACTGTGGGTCAGAAGAAAGAACAGGTATCCTTGACTCAACTGTCAAAAATTTTCACCTCTAGGTGGAACAGCTGCAAACAGAACAAACAAGGTGCCAACAACCGTCCTGTCAACCAGACACCTTCCCCAGAAGGAGAGAAACTTCATAGTGACAGCGGCATCTCAGTTGATAGCCAAAGCCTCCACGATCAACAGCCACCAACCCAAACAGCATCTCTACAAGGCAAGAGGAGGGGTCAAGCTGAACCTGGGAGGGGAAGAAACCAAAGAGCAGGAATGCAATTCAGAAAGACAGGAAAGCTCTAATTACCAGAATATACTATAGCCCTGGCAGACACCAAAAGGACAGTTAATCCAAGAACTATCTACTTTCTAGATCACATCCCTTTTGTTGCTTGTCCTGTAAACCAACCAATGAAATCCCAATTATAATTTGCCCTGGGCAGATAGCAAGCATATGCAAGTTTTTGTTGATGCAATTGTAACTAACAAACCAAGTAAAATTACAATGGGGGAAATAAGCAAGGTAGGGCAAATAGCTGTATTCCTCTGCCCCCACGACTCACATTTTTCCAGAAATATCATATTTAGTGTTTTTCCATTTCACTCCTTTTAGCACATATGTCAAATTAAATTCATTGCTCTGGAAATTCTACTTTTAGTTTATACTAAAATTTATGTGCATTGTAGTGCACGTTGCTTTTTTTGTTACCTATTTTACTTATATACACCATTTTTACAAATAATTATCTAGTATAATAGACAATTAGTAATATAATATATTTTTGTATATAATTCATGCATTTTGGGTTAAACTTGTCATATATATTTTAATTGTTGGTGATCCCTAATGCAGTCTTCAGAGATTTGAAAATTGGTTTTGGTCTATGTTTTATTTTAAAAATGCAAAATCTGATCATGTTACTTTTAAAGATAAAGCTAAACACATTTTTCTCCCATTCCTGGCAAGAAAGCTGGTCTTCGCTATTTTATAGATACCAATACAAATCCAAAGTGTGGAAAATTATTAGTTTCTTTAAAAATACTATAGGACACTGCTTGATGTTCAACTTAGATTTCAGCCCCAGGACATAGTTTGGAAAATCCATTGTTGTTATTAGAGTGCTTTCAAGTCTATGTTGACTCCTGGAAACTGCTGGGACAAATTCATGCAGGGTTTTTTTTTGGCAAGGTTTTTCAGAGGTTTACCATAGGTTCCTTCCTAGAACTGAGAAAGAGTGACTGACCCAAGATCACCCAACTGACGTTGTGCCTAAGGTAGGACTAGAACTCAAGATCTCCCGGGTTCTGGCCTGATGCCTTAACCACTACACCAAACTGGGTCTCTTGCCTGTTATTCTACCATGTTTCAAATTATTTATGCTAGAAGTACATATGAAATACAAACATTTGCAGTATAAAAACAACAGCTCTCAAAAGTATACTTTTTTTTTGCTTCCTACACTAAAAGTCAAGATCAATTTTCACTCCAGATGGATGAATTTCTGTGCAATTGGCATGAAAGTTAACTTCTATTAGGCAAATAGGTATGGTCATTAAAACCATATTTTCCTAGTAACTGGGAGGCATTTTATACCTTAGAACATAAAACTAAATTATTCTTGTAAAAATTATGTCAAGTCTCACTCTACTTCATGTGGACTATTTTGGGTTACAAACAAACATTTTTGAAAAAAATCAACCCAATAGTTTCACTTCAGGATTAGGATTAGGGACATAAACCATTGAGATCATGTTTTAAAAAAATAATTTATGAAAAATAAGGCACTTGTTAAATATACAGCATGAACCCTGGTAGCACAGTAATTAGAATGCAGTACTGCAGGCAAACTCTGTCCATAGCCTGGAGTTCGATCCTGACCAGCTCAAGGTTGACCCAGCCTTCCATCTTCCAAGGTCAGTAAAACAAGGACTCAGACTGTTGGGGGCAATATGTTGACACTGTAAATCTCTCAGAGAGTGCTATAAAGTGATATATAAGTCTAAGTGCTATTGTAGTGCAATTGCTATACAAGGTTTTCAATAACTCATAGTAGATGAGATAAGTCGCCTACCATTGCAATTCTGTCATCCACTAGTTATGACTCATTCTGTGAGCCCATTTTTTCCCCCAGAAGGTTTTACTAGGTTGATATCAACCTATGGCATGAGGTTTATATTGAGAGGGTGAGCATTTGTGGCTTTTTGATCCTTAGATCCTCCGCTATTCCACTTCACAATTTCTACCTGTGCTCTTTGAAAACAAATAATTAGTAATAATCTCACTTATCATGATAAACACTAGTTAATTTGATCATAATGTATGTAATAAATCATAATGCCAGTTTCATAAAACTTAGTAAGCCATAAATTATAAATTACAGTTCATAGATCATACTAAGTCAAAAAGAATAAGCCACGTTTTTCTTAAAACCAGTAAATGGAGCAAAGAGTAAGTAAGAAGTACTCTCTTTCTATTTTTGGAAGTCCATGCCAACTGGACTATTATGAGTAAATGTTAATATGAAGGAGGAGGAAGGCTCCCACAAGATCATATGCATGTGGAAGAGCAGTGCATTATCTCCCAGTAACTTTTTTGGGTCATTGGTTTGGTTTGAATGCCATTCTTGGCAGTTTACAATAGTAAACAATGTAATAAAAACTGCATGAAGACTGAACTGGGCCCAAAGGGTCTTTCAAAATTCTCTAACATAGAGAATGAGTATGGGGGAACTGGATAGATCATTTCTTTGACTTTCTCTAAGTGAACAAAGAGCTCTCCTACAAAAGTAGGACTTCTACTCTGTGGAGGAATGAACATCACTCCTGAAAAAGCCACATGAGAAGAATTTTGGCCTGAGGTTTTCCCTTGAGGTTAGTTTGGGGTATGAGAAGCCAAGAAGGCTGGAGAAATGCATTTAAGCCCAGCCCTCTGTCACTTCTTAAGCTCAACACCACCACAATAGTTTCTTCTTTGAACTTCCCCTGCCTGATTCTGGGTTTTCACAGGCAGCCCTGCCCTCTTTTTCTGCTCTCCACATGTTTAGCTGGGAGGCTTAAAGATAAGTTGAACAAGGATTATTTTAAATGTCATAGCTCTCCATGCCATCTGGAATCCTAGAACACACAGCAAGACAGAAGCCTATCCTTCAGGCTAAATGCTCAGTGCTTAGAAAGAGCTGTATGGAAAGGGTGAGTGAATAGTTTTGTCCTTTATTCATTTGTAAGCCCACTTGTGCTCAGATGATGATCACTCAAAATTTGGAGACAGCATTCTTTCTTTCTGCAAATGAATTGGGATTGTACTAAATAAGAAATCCCGGAACTAAAATCAATATTTATATATTTTTAATTTGGGAGATTTTAGAATGGACTGGTTAAAACATTAATTGTAATACAGGCAAAGAAAAAGTATCAGACTATTAAAGGAGGCTTGAATGTTTATGTCTGTGAAAATAATGGTGGATATAATCTTACCTGAATTATTTAGAACAATTCATATTCTGCCTTGCCCCTTGAAGTTCATGAAATTATCCAGAAAAACCTCCATTCAAATCTTGAATATGGTTTTCCTTTGAAAGCATATTGATCTGTTTATTATTTCTTATAAATCAAAGAACACAAAGATCAATAATTCCATGCTTTTCAGAATGTTCTAATGCTATTTTTAAAAGATACTACAATATGTGCTAAAAAGAATATTTCATCAAAGGAATTTTACACGAAATGCAAACAGACATTTTCTGTGAAATGCATCTACAACATGTGTGTGTGTGTGTTTGTGTGTGTGTATTCAGTTAGTACAGAAATAGGATGGAATAAATTCACATGAAACTGACTTGGACCAAAAAAACGCTGGGTCTCCACAGTAAAGGACTATCTATGGCTCCCATAATAATAGCTAATCATTTCCCCATTCCCTCCTGGATTTTCCCCCAGGAGCATGCACAATTGCTGAGGATTGTTGTGGACAATTAAAGGTATTTATTTTAAATTTGTCACATTGTTCTGTGGCATTGTGGGGAATTTAAATAGTTGGCTTCCAGTCAACTATTTCTAGCTAAAACCATCTTTGGGAACATGGAAGGCAAGTGAATGACTTGCATGAAGTTATGATCTTTTTTAACCTTTCTCTATCTATCCCAAACTCATTCCTCAATTTCAGGTCTTAAAGGAGATGGGAATCTTTACACCAGCCTGCCCCCTAACAAACGTGAAGAGGTTGAAAAGCTGTTGAATGGTTCCACAGAGGAGACATGGCGCCACCTGGCTGGAGAACTAGGCTACAAGGAAGATCACATAGACTCCTTTACACAAGAGGAATACCCCGTTCGTGCGCTGCTTTCAGATTGGTCCAGCAAGGACAGTTCCACCATGGATGCCCTTTATTCAGCCCTGCGCAAGATCCAAAGGGGGGACATTGTGGAAAGCCTTTATAGTGAATCCACTGCTAGTTCTCCAGTGTGAAGGAGAAAGAGAGGGCAGAGGCAATTGGAAGAGTTAGAGTTAGCTCCTCATTTCCCCTGTCCCACTGGTGCCACTTGGAAGAAGAACATGTGGAGTCAAAATAGAGCTCATTCTTTCTGGGGACACTGGAACAATCCTGTAAGCACTGATTTAGTTATTTTTCCCTCTCTGCCCTACTGTCCTCGTATTTTCATCCAATAGCTCTTGCTAGTAACAAACAATAAGACGGTAAAAGGAAATGAAAGACAAGAGAGGGAATGGATGTCTTGTTTATACTGTATGTGCTCCTTTAAATCTCCTGGACTGTTAGTGGATGGCTGATTCTGAACTGAGGCAAGAATGAAGAAAGACATCTGTCCAAAGCCAATTGCTTGACTTCCCTTTCAGGTGCCTCTGACATTTATCCCATGCGCTTCTCTCATGATCCCATCAACATCAGTTCTCTTTCTTCTCTTGCACATCTTCTTTCCTTCAGTCACCAGTTTATTTAAGCACATCTGAAATCAGGAGAAAGAAAAGAAAAAAAACCCAAGGAGACCAGCCAGATATGTTACAGAGTGATGAAGGATTCAAAAAAGGCAGAAATGCTAGGCCTGAAACAAGGAGACATATGGTGTTTAGAGGACAAGTGAACATTTGTTTTGAGGCAACCTCCTGAGGGGGTTCTGAGTGGGGAGAAAAGAAATGTGGACCAGGTTTCTAGCTATCAAAACTGACAGTATGAAGATCAAAGTGAGAAGCTAAGGGATGGAACCCAAAGAGAAAATAACAACATTTCCATCCAAGTATGGGTGACCACATCAAAATTATATTTGATCCCGCCCTTGTTTTCTTGTTCAGATGCATTCTTCTCTAGCTAATAAGGATTTTTTTAATTAAAAAAACCCTTTTCCATTTTTCTTTTCCTGAGTTTGACTGAAACCAGTAAAGTCATATAAACCCTTGCTTAAAGGAGCCAGATATGCCGCATTGATGTGTGGACCTAATCAGAAGCAAACAAGGCAAGTGGTCAGACATATACATTCATTTTCCAAGGGATGCTGCTTTGATGATGCCACATGCTGTATGTTCTTCTTCAAATTGGTAAACCAATCACTGTGTGTTAAGAAGCTGTTACTTCTGTTGCATTAAAAGGGCAAGCAAGCAAACAAACAAAAAATCCCTTAGTGGCCTTAATGCACAAAGCAGGGAGCAATCTATATGAAAACGTAGCTGCTCTCAGAGGTAGAATTTTGCTGAATGTTATTCCTGGGTCAAGTGATGTACAGCCACCAAAGCAACCTGCTATTTTCTGTTTTCAAATATTAGAGGGATATAAAAGTACTATGGGAATAGGATGGTGGGGAAATATTCTACAAGCTAACAAGAATCACCAAAAGCTCTTGAGAAAAAAAAAAAGAACTGGAACTGTACAATTCCCTTTCTCTGTATCTGTATTATAAGATTAATGTTGGTTTCTTTTATTCTTATTCTGATGATACTCGTATAGACTTTATGAAAACAATGGTGGCATTTGAAAACTGATAGGTTTTTAAACAGTTGACTGGGCCATTCATGGGTATTGTTTAGCTGCTCATCTTGTTTCTCTGATTTAAAACCGTGGAGAAGAAATCTCTCCATCATATGTATGCACGCACACGTATATATAAATATATACTTAGAAAGTAATGGGAATACTTCCTGGGGAATGTTAGTTAGGAATGCTAATTAATTTCCCTCTCAACCAAGAGATGATTAGGGAAGCTTGGCAGTCTGCACTAAGTGTTGCTATTCTAATCACTTTTCTGTCATCATACCAATTTTAATGGTTTGCCTCACCAGAAAACTTCTATTTTAACCTTGACATTTTTGCTGTCAACAAACCTTAGTAGCAATTTTAAATAGGATGGTACAACAGATTGAGGAAAGTTAATTACATGTTTGCTTTCTATTTAAAAACTTTTTACAGAACAACTAGAATCATGTCTTTATTCGTAGAATGTTGCTATTACATAACAACAATAATAAAGAAGCCGGAGGACCAGCTAGTAACATATCTAATGAACTCCCAAAAATTTTAGAAAGAAAATATGGAGATACATGGAGGTACTTGTGGCCTTGTTGATTTTGGGTCTAACTACTGGCCCACTTAGCTTAACATCCTTTTCATGTCAATTCTGAAACCCAAATTCCTTTTTTATGGTATGAAGGGCAAAGAGCCTGGACACACAAAACAGGCACTTTACCTCAGAAATCCAACTCACAGTCTAGTTCAATCTCTTGGTATACAATTTGGAGATAACTCCAATTGCCCTTTTCTCTTTTTGTAGAGATATGTCCCTTGTTGTGTGGTAACTATCCCAAAAGAAGCAAACAGAGTGCCAAATGTTTTTGCTTTTCTTGAACATGCAACTCCATTAAATAATTCTACCTTTTAAGATTTACTGCATTAAGCCCTTCATTTTTCTTTTGGGGCAACAAAATCCCCACAGAATAAGAGATGCAGGCAAGATAGAAACCCCACTGGAATTCAGGTTTCAGGTTATAGCAAACAGAATTTATCTTAGCAGGTAAATTTTGGCACATGACACACGAGTTGGAGCTTCTCTGCAAAAGAAAGGAAATCCTTCTTCTTCTAAATGCTATTCCTTATTATTCTGAAGTCAGAGTAGAAACAAGAAAACCAATCAATATAAGAGACTGAGTGATTAGTATTCTTGAATAATCAGGTATAAATGTGTTATATTGTAACTGTGTTATGCAACAGCTACATCTCTTCCCAAAATCATGTTTCCAACTGCATGATCCTAGGAAAAGATGGGACTGTTTTAAAATGTTGCAGTGACATCCTATGTTTGTACTTCAAAGCTTCTTTTTGGAATGAAATCAGAAATGTGGTACAGTTATGTTTAATATCATAACCATATGATTGATTGGGACTTGCATATGAAGACCCGTCTTCATATATTAATAACAAGGACACAATGTCAGTGAATAACAGTGCCTTTCGAGTACAACTTTTTCTTTTTTTAACCAGGAAGTTAAAGGATGTTGAATTCTTATGCTAACAACCCATAAAAAGAGATGAAAATGTGACAGGACAAAGAACTGTAGAGCCTATTTATTTGAAATTTGGCCTATTTTATCTGGAATAAATTATCCTGAATAGAGTATATCTCTATATCAGAGCCATGCTTAGTTGAAAAGATATGTGTAGAAGAGAATAAAATGGGAAAATGACGCTTTATTATAAATCATTGTTGGCATATGTCTCCATTTTATTCACTGCGTTGAACTGCAATTGGGCACAGTAAATCTGTGGCTTTCCTTTCCGTTCAGATGCCAGAATACCCAGAAAACTCAATAGTTCTTGCTAGTCTTCTGCTAGAGGATTGAAGGAGAATAATTGGTTATTTTCTCAGGGCTACTTAAAATGTGTATGAGAGAGTCTGTATATACCCAATACACACATTTCCAGGTGAAGAATCCATGTTACTTAGGGAAGGCAATTGTGTTTCGAGATTTGGTGGATCCAGGAAAACCCTTCCACAAAAGGAAGTTTCCAATGTTGAATTTCTTCCTTAAAAATTAGAACTTTTTCTCCATTCTTGGTTAAACGATAATTCGTAGTTCAAACTGCTTTGCTTCTTCATTTGTTTATGTGAGGGTTTTATATCTTATCCCAAAATACCGAATAAATACTTCTCTTGACTGACGCATTGCCTGATTAGTAGCAGAGGTGGTATTCATCAGGCTCTGACCAGTTCTGGAAAACCGGTTGTGGAAATTTTGAGTAGTTTGTAGAACTGGCAAATACCACCTCTGACTGGAGATTTTCCAGTACCCTTCCCCTGCCATACCCACTAAGCCACGCCCACAGAGCCGGTAGTAAATTTTTTGAATCCCACCACTGGTTAGTAGGTTTCACAAAGATGGATTGAAGATCTAGTCCCTTCTCTTCTAAGTTGGCAAGGATGGATGACTTAAAAGAGATTCTGAGGAGAAAAAGGACACATGTGTGACTGTAAATGATTTTGTAACAGCTGCATGGCCAGCTGTACATGTGTACTGTGCAAATATGAATAAGCAGGCATAGTTGTGCTCACAACCTTATGTATGTATTCCAAAAATCCGATGAAGAAAGGGTACGCTATATTAAGTGTTCAGTTGGGTTTTTTTTCCCCCTAGATGCAATTCTTGCATTTCAAGAGGTTTGAATTTCTCTGCCCTCATTCTTCCCTATGCCCTGAACCAAACTGACATCACAAAGTATCCCCTAAATTTTGCAGCCCCTCAAAGTTTACTTTGCAATCAAAAAAGACAAACTGAGCAGATTTAGATAAACATGTCTAATGGGCCTACAGCTGTTCCAGACATTTCAGTACAGACACAGATGTTAGCTTTTAATGATAAATGTTGGAGTCCATGGCTTATATTAAACTGTTATATGTGTTTGAGTTTATTTCAACTAATTGATGAATTATGATTAGCAGCTAATCAGTTTTGGTGATTAGCCAAGACTGCATGTGGTTAGCTAGCAACAAACCACTTTGAAGGGCAGCACCTTTGTAGAGTTATCATTCAACAAAATCATTCAGTTTTATGTGTTGTATCCATGTTCTTTTTCACAATATGCATCGGCTATTTAGTATATGGGTGGTCTTCCATCCAATTGCTGCTCAGATCCAAACCTGTTTACCTTTAGAAGCTCAGTTGAAGCAAGAGTGCTTTCATAAACATTGATTATAGCACTAGTAGAACATATTTCTTCAGATGTGCGCTATAAAAAAATGGAACTAAAGTTGATTTTCCATTCCCTTAAGAGACATTATGGCTTTTTCATGCATTCATCCAATTGTATTATTTCATGCCTAAGTCCTTAGCACTATTCTTTTATGTTTTTAAAGATGTAGCTTTGACATAATCAGGGACTTAAAGCAGCTAAACCTAACCTAGATAACCATTTAATATCAATTTCTTTTGTAATATGGTTCTGTTTTTAAATTTACTTTTAAATAGCACCAAAATATCTTCCCAGCTCTGTCACAGCAAAACACTGCTTATATGAAAGTTTTGAAGAGTTCCTTTGATGTCATAATGCAATATGTTTCCAGATAGAACTATTTTAACAAGTAGTCAGTGATAAAGTCTGGAACAATATTTTTTTTAAATTGTTAGCTTGGCTTAATTTTAATGCAATATTTAAGCATTAGAGGGATAATTTTTAAAAAATTGAAAAATTACTATTGGTCATATTTGCTAAGCTATGACTGGAAAGAATATTCTTTCATTAGTAACACACTTTCATTTATACATAATTTTACTTCTATTTTATTATAGACCAGAAATGTGTGTGTGTGTGTGTGTGTGAGAGAGAGAGAGAGAGAGAGAGAGAGAGAGAGAGAGAGAGAGAGAGGGAGAGAGAGAGAGAGGAAGAGGAAGAGGAAGAGAAAAAGAGGGGGGGGAGTGAGAGAAAAGCAATTAAAAATGAATGATGGTGAAAAGGGCATCTAGTTAAATTGCAGGCAGGATGATGAACTATTACATCTTTTGGTCTCCCCAATCTTTTTTAAATAAAGTTTATTAGTTTATAATATAAAATACAAAAGCAAATAGTAGGAAAAATAAGGGAGGAGAAAACAAAAGGAGAAGTGTAGAAAAGCAGGGAAAAAAGAAAAAAAGTGTTGGCTTCCGACTCCCTCTGGTGCAGTAGAATAAAACAGTAACATCAAACCTCAACTCTTTACTTTTATGTAATAGTATAAACTAACCACTCCAGTAACAACAAATCTATCTAATCAATAAAATTCAAAAATCCAAGTTTTATTTTTTTCCACCTCAAGCACGAAGTCCAGAAGCAGTTTCCAAGTAGAAACAAAAGTAATTATGTTTTTTTTCTTTTATCAAAACAGTAAAATTAGCCATCTCTGCTAATTCCATTTACTTTTGCAGCCATTTGTCCATTGTAGGAATCAAAATGTCTTCTATCTTTGTCCATAAAGTAGTCTTGATGCACTCAACGTATATAACATCAAAGTTCCATTCCCCACCCGCCACCCCAAATCTTTTGCCATTAAACCAATCTAATGCCATACACTTTGTTATTCTTCCTCTACCTCAACAGTCATAGAAAACACCATATACAAAATTCAAGAGAATTCTAAATGAGAGGTAGAATTATGTAGACACCATCACATTGGAGAAAATAAGTTATGGTTACAGTACAATAAAGCTTTACTGGAGAACAGCCTTGGTAGTTCCAGACTGTAATCCAGGTATCAAAGTGCAAGTAATGTCCCAAATAAGAGCATGTTATTTGAAGCTCCGTACTACTATAGGAGCCGAATGACTTGATCCCATGTATTGGCCTGAGTTCAAATTTCCCAACTCAGGTCAATTTGAGAATTAGAAGGAAATC